GGGGAGGTGGGGTAGGTAGCTGCGCATTAGAGGCAGGAGCTGATAAGTTAGTGCGAAATACAGCACTGTATGTGGTCTGTCAAGTGGGGGACGGGAGCTATGCATTGAAGTGTATTCAACCAGATGGTCTGTGTGATGAATGAAGGGGGTAGGCACTTCAGAATAATTGTGATGGCTACCACCAAGTTCCTTACTTTTCCATTCTTTTTTTCTAAGTGAGGTCATTTTTTAAGTGTTTGAACTGCAATAAAAAACGATGGTTCTCAACAATGATGTTTTCGTCAGTACGTTGAGTGATTTAGCCACTTCTGACGGTAGGTGATCCCTCATTTAGGCTTCCAACTTCACCAGTCGTACTGAGTGTTCAGTATGGATGTTGCATGCACAGCAGACTTCCTTTTTTCACTGTGGAGCCGCACTCGAGAACACATGCCCTATAACCGTGCTCCACAGCACACAAAATAAGTTCGAAATTACGTTTAACCGACCGTCTAACTGAACACTCCGTTGATATGGACTTTCCAGAAATTCTGTGGTTTCTGTGTTCATGCCCGGAAATCCTACAGACAGAATTTTCGACGTCAAGGTCAGCTGTGGTTAACTCTTTCCGGTAACGACCAATGTGCCGCGAAGATCCCACTGGAAGGACATTACCTGACTAACCGTCGACCCCTGATCCCTTGAGCTGTCAAAATGAACAGTTGTTCAAATCATTCAGGTGGGTCCCTTGGGTGGTCCACAGGTGACACCGGGATTTGTCTAGTCGTCAGTCTATCCCTGATTCACAGAAGCAGGTCACAGAGTGATCATTCTGAATCAAACTTACAGCTAAGAAGTGAGAGCTACACAGCAAAGTCCTGAAAACAAGAGAACAAACGAGAATCGACCATGACCGATATCAAACCTGGTCATCGAGATGTCAGCGGATTAAAATATTCTGACTGCTCATGAATCAAGTCAAGACTAGATGTGGAAATGGCCAGCAAGACTCAACCGATCCAATTAGGAGACAGGTGCAGATAATTGTCTTTGCGGGTGATGTATCCTCGTTCCGAACATGACCGATTCTCTGGACTGTTGTTCGGTATAAAGCATGGCAGCATAATCGGACTTGTTGGAAAATTCTGCATCGAAGTTACTCAAATGATATGAACCGGATTTGCAAGCCGCATGCGCTTCCCGTATAGCGGACAGGTGTGACAGCCTGATCCCAAACACCCGATTTCTCACATTCGTACTTCGGTCGGACATGGTGAACGTACGTCTTGTCGATTAGATGACCTTCTGAGAGCGCTGTTTTCCGTGCTCAATTCGGAGTGACGAAAGCTTAGAGGTGGAGAGATTTTGACACGGCAAGAAGAGACGAAGGATGTTACGAAAAGTTTGGGCGCTGTTTTTGCTATTCGCCTTCTAGGATGGGGGCCACGTGATCTCCTCTGTGCTTGTCTGGAGGCACTGAAAGATATGGAGGCAAATCAACGTCATGCTGTCAGCCCCACTTCTTTCTTCTTTCCATTATAAGGCTTAATTCAAATAAATTGACACGGATGTGCGGCAGTGAAACACCAGTGTTCTTTGGTGTTGATGTCAATGATCATGCTTACGTTGACGAACAGATAGACTCCACGACATTCCTGTAAGTGTATTACACTAATTATGCCCCCGAGACTGAGCGTAAACGGAAATAGCAGTAGACAAACTACAGCGGAAGGAGAATTTCAAAGGTACTCGTAAGTCCCTGCAGACTGAGGAGAGACGGAATCACTTCCCGAACTGGGGAGACCAAAGTGGTTATTTCCAATCTCTGACTTTTGTGCTGCCGACGTGATATCAACTTAAATGTCAAGGGTAGAGTGCAGAGTTCCGCCATCCGATCCCTTCTACTTTATGTATCAGAGACATGGCCACTGCGTGCAGATCTTCGGAAACTCACCGTGTTTGACGACTGGTAGGTTCGAGGCTCTGCGTGAGTTTAGTGGGAACATCAAACCAATAATGCTGAAGTACGCCAGATGGTTACGGTGAAGTTCACTCTTCTTCCGTATATCAACCCGTCACACTCCATAGTTTAGATCACGCATTTCGCATGCCACAGAACCGTTTGCCTCGTACAGCCATCTTCGCCCGGCCTTGTATCGGATGGGGCCGATCGTCATCACCGTCGGTTGTCATAACCGCGTACTCGTCGTACAGTGGTTGTAGCTGCCGCATTTTCGTTCACCGAAGATTTGGGCAGGGCAGGTAGCTGCGCATTGCATGCGGGAGATGATACATTGGTGCATAAATCCAGCAATGTCAGTGGGCTTTTGAGTGGGGGGATTAGGAAGGGAGCTATGCATTGAAGGCAATAGCTTGGATGCATGAGCGCTACTGAGGGCGCGACTGGGCCATGTTTGACAATGTCTCTAGCCATTGATGTCGCCCGTCTCGGGGTCCCCATCCGGGAAGACGGCAATGACCAGCGCAGCTGAGTTTGCTGCTAGTGGCTTTCATAATTCGCTGCCAAGTCATTGTTTGACCGCCTTTGACTCTCTTCTACCCTTCGCGTGATTGTGCGAAGAGCCCTTCGAGGGATTCGGTCGAATCTCATACGCAGCACGTGGCCAAGACAGCGCAACCTGTGCAGTGTGATTAGTTCATCTATCGAGGGTGAGTTGTTTCTCCCGAATACCATTCGACGTACTTCGGAATTGCTGATCCGGTGTTTCCACCGATCGAGAGATGCTTAGTCCATGACATTGAACTAGAGGATCAAAGCCCTTACCAGTCAGCTGAGTCGCGTTGGTAACTGCCATTTCCTTGGATGGTGATCAAGGGACGAGAAGAAACAATGGTTAGTGTCCCTGAGAGATATGGCTGCCAATGGCGCTCTTGCACCAAAGCCATCGCTTTCACTGCGCAGCCCTCATCTCCTGCTACAAACAAGCACGGCTTGTGCCACCGCCCCGAAACGTGTGGCTCTAATTACTTCACTGTCCTTATCCCCGGTGAACGAAGCTGTAGAACCTGGAATGATTGCACCAAGGTCCACTGCTTGTGAAAAACTAAGTGAAATAAAAAACACCCTGTAGAAGATAATGGAGTAACACCAGACTAGGTGGTTATCATGCTTTTCATCGAAACCTCTGAAGTTGTTGCAAACGATGAATCACACTATCCGTAGTCGGTGTATGTCACATTTGTGCAGGTCACATCGTCAATCCATAATACTCACAAAGAACCCTTGCCCTGCTTAATTTAAAACATCTGCGAAACAGTCGAGTGAAGTTAATCCGCCACAACTGCATCCATTAGCCCAGTGGGGGCGAGATGGCTCAAGTGGTTAGAGCGCGAATTTACTGACCGGATGGTCCGTGGTTTGAAACCAACCTCTGCCTCTCGACTTGCCCTATCTAGGCTTGGGCAACCTGACAGTATCCCAGCCCTCGTGCTTCCTTCGGGTGGCATGGCAGCTAAGCACCGAAAGGACACTATAGCTGAACGACGATTAGCCCAGTATAGAGAAGGCATGCCAAAGCCGTTTCTACTGCGCATGAACATAGAGGTTAACTAGTCGGCAGTGGCAGCACTGGCTAAGACCGGAGAGGCCACGGTCTCGTATACATACCGACTTCACTGGACCGACAAGATCTGATCATTGTCGATGAATTCATTAAGTGGCCGGAAGTTCTCGTCGTGACAGAAACATCGACCAACTCAACAACTGCTAGGCTGTGGCATTTAGTTGCAGCTCTAAGCATCCCGGAAACAACTGTGTGGACAACTGCTGTCAGTTCACATCTCACCAGTTGGGAAGCTGCATTAAAGTTTTGTCACGATACATGTGACATAATCAACATATTCCAACGGAAAAGCTGGACTATCCATGGGTATTTTCAAGCGCGTCCTGAGAAAATCCATAGGAGGGGGCAATAGCAGAAACCCGGAAGACAATTTCTCGGCCTACCAATTTACAATAAGCCCACTGTCTCCGGATGATCGTTCTCTTACAGAAACTCTGATGAACAAGCAGTATAAACAAGCACACGGCGCCTTTCGACCGTCACCTAAAAGTTTGTGACTGACTGTCGTATACATTAAAGATTACAGAACTGGTTGCCGCAATGGATCATTGAAACCATCCTGAATAAAGTTGATCAAGTAAGCAACAATATCCTAGTGGGCCCTCTGATATCGAAAGTGCACACTAAGCAACTGAAACCTAAACATTCTCCAAGTACGGACAAAGGTGAACAACTGCTTTAACTGTTATAATGATCACAAGTTATTTTTATGCATCGCTAACTTCCGGAAGAGCCAGAATCGCCGGGCTCGATAGTGTCTCCCAACGGACACAAAGTGACCATATCACTGATAGTTACCGATGGCGTGGACCACTGATTGGCGGCTACTCAACTTGGAGCACGTATCACACCCGTCCGGAGTCGTTTCTTTTTGCTTTTCAATGCCACGCTAACTGGGGTACCTGGCCTAGCCACTGAAGAGTTCTCAGACCCAGAGCGCAAACGAACTTATCACAACTTTTTGGACTATTCTTGCACTTACACCGTCAGACATCAACTTGAAATGGACCGAGATCAAAACGTCGCTGCAGAGTGCCGGGAGTGTCAACAGCCAGATCTTCTGGACGGATGACCTCCTGTCCGAATTTTCCAAAGATGGACTATTATTATTGGTAATGTCATTGAGGCCCTGGTCTTCAAACAGCTGCCGAAAAAAGCCTTATCGGTCTGGAATATGCAGACAATATCAACCTCGCATTCGGAAAAGAATAGTAGACAAGTCTCCTGGGGAAATGCCCCGACCTTTAGTATGTGATTTGCACACTCCTCGACATAGGGTCACTCAGCACGTGATGTACAATACAAGGGGAGACAATCGAGGCTGTGGGAAATTTTACGAAGTTTCCAGCTCCCGTTGTAATGTGATACATGACCTCAATGTACGAAACCGTAAGGCCCGTATTGCACTTGTTTACTTGACATACGGCGGCGAAGTGACTATCTTCGAATCTCAAAGGACGTGTAGATTGGGGCTATTTTGCTGTACGGTTGTGCCATGGGGCGAGATGGCCGAAGTGTTAGAGCGCCTCCGCCACTCGACTTCCCCTGTCTAGGCTTGGGCAACCTGGCAGTATCCCAGCCCTCGTGCTTCCTTCGGGTGGCATGGCAGCTAGGCACCGGAAGGGTGCTACAGCTGAACGCTTTTTACTTTTTATGGTTGTGCCATCTCTTCTGCGGGCAAAACTATGACTTATTCAAGCCCTCGATGGACGCTGTCTCAGAAGCATAGCTAGGGCAGGTGGGGAGGAAGAATCCACAAAGACAAGATTTCGATCGTATAACGGGAACTTCAAACGAAAATTGTCTATCACTGAAATCTGTGGTGGTTTCATGTATTGCGCATGCATAGAAATTGTCCGCCGAAAAGTGCCACTTTCTGTGCCGGTTAGAGTGGCGCAAGCAGAAGTGTTTAATTTTGGACCTTTTAGGGAGTAAGAAACCGATTACGAGAAATCTGAGTAATGGTGGTGCCGGCCGTCTTCCGGAATGGATTCTGTACGAACCACTCTGTGCATATCTGGAGACGCTGCAAAATATGGTGGTTAATGGATTGCATCGGTTTTCATGTTATCGGTTTCTACTGAGATTGCCTGAATGATTGTTGATTATACACATACCTCGAAGTGATCCTAGTACGACAGCATCGGATTCATTTCCCGTCTTCTTTTTTGAATCGAGGCTTTCAAATTGATTAATTAATTAATTGGCTACGGTAGCAAAGCGTCCGTCTTGAACACTGACACGCTCGCAAGTAGGCTGTAGTGACACTTGACGTGTACTGAGATCACGACCACAGTTACAAAAGGGTGGACGATATTGTTACACTTGTGGCTTCCGCAAAGGCCATTGAGAAACCGGATATATCGTACGAAAACGGTTCAAAACAATATGGACTCGGTGTCGTATACTTCTGCTGATATTCTAATACCAAGCTTTTCGAATAAATTTCTGAAGTGATGGACGACCATTCAGTAGGCAGTGTGGCGGTGTAACAAGCAAGAAAAACGGAACTTCACAGCCATGCCAGAAAGCCGAGACACAAACCCTACCAGGGAAAGGCGGAGTAACATTAGAAAGATCGTCGGGAAAACATCAAAGTTCGCATTCGTCGATTGGTTGCATAAGAAACAAGTAGCAAAACTATAGCGGCGGCCGCATTTCTAGAACACGTGCTTTTTCTCCAAGGTAAATATGACATAATCTGCAGTACACACTAAGTGTCCAAGCTCAGAAGATAAACCAGGGCAGTACACTATCCGTATGTTAATAAGGGTTCACACACGGACACCGATATCAGTTGAAGCAGCAAGGGGGTTACGGCCTGGGCTTCTAACGTACAGAGGGAATGAACATGTATATTATAGGAATATACGACGCATACCAGCTACACTTAACTAGCTAGGTAGATGTGACCAAACATGGACAGGGTCGTCGGGTCTGCGTGTACTCCTGGGGTAGATTCAGACTAACAAGTAGGTTAGATAGCTGAGAGGCAACGGCAAATACCGTAATACCTACGTTGTGTAAATATGACTAACTATGTTGGTTACCAATTCGCACATAACTTATGCAGCAGACACCCGAAGTATGGCCACGGTATGGTAGACGCGTCATCTCTCACGAGAAGCGCACCCCTATTTCCAACTGACAACAAAAGTCTCTTAGAGGTTACCAGGGGCCATGGAAACATGCGGAAAAAATTTACCAGGAGTTCCCTCAAGCGCTGCCTGCGCTCCTGTGAGTACCAGAATACCATCGGGAGCCAAGAATTTCGCAGCCACACAAGAAGCGATGCAAGAGGACCAAACGCTGCTTTTCCACATTGAATCCATATTTTTCATGAAATCTACGTAATTATGGACCCAATTAAGCCGGAAACATACCTTTATGCACTGCGTTGCCACCAGCCCAACCCCCTGCCACACAAAGAATGGCATTCAGCTTTTCGCTACCAAGAGCATCTGAAATTATATTCTGCACTTTTACGTGCTGGCCCGTTGCATCATCTGTGTGAGACAGGATGACGTTAAGGTCGGCAGTCGGATTTTGGTTGAAATCCACTGAGCAAACCCACTGAAGCGGACAAAATATTAGTACAACATGTAGCATACGAAATTCCTCTCCTTTAAATACTTTGCGCATACAGAACCCAAGCCACCAGTCCCACCGTAGACCAGAACCCGCCGCAACGACATCCTTCACAAAAACTGCAGGTCGCGGTCCCTTTGACCTCATTCGAAGGTCAGTTTTTTCACGGATTCACGGATTGATACACAGGATCGAGGCTTTTGCCCAAGATTCCCGGGTCGGTTTTGTTCTTGTCGGTCAGTGGCTGTCGTTCACCTGAAAGGCACAAGTGAAAAAAGGGTGTAGCACT